CGTAAAAATTGTATGGAATACAATTGGCTGTACCTGGCTACTTCCTTGGTTACAAACTGGTCACCAGGAAGGCCTAGACTAAAACCATCACATTCTTAAATTCATGTATGTGAAGACCTGACAGCCTCTTTTGCCAATCCACCTTTCTGACCAAAAGGTGAAAACACTGTCTAAGCACTTTTGAAAGAACTGCAGAATTGAAATAAAGCTAAAACACAAAACCACAATAATTTCTTATTCAGATTCTATGATTAACAGTGTTGGAAAAGCAAATGAATTATGCTAAATGAAATTTTTATAATGAAAAAAAGTGTTAATGAAAACCAAAAGGTTCTTAACAGAAGGATTTAAGTTAGCCACAAAGGAAATAAGGTTAATGCTCCAGCATGTAGCCATCATCTCCCTATTACCTTTACAAAATGAGGGAGAATTTCAACACTTCACAAATAGGTAAGTTCTTCAATAGGAACTAACTTTCAGTCAGTTTAGTGATAATTAGCACTCAAGTAGATAAGAGTGCTCAAATAAATGCCCTCATTGTGCAAAAAACAGGAAAGTAAATTCACCATTTAAGCTCTACTCAGCATGCCAGGTCACTAATTATCAACAGGAATGAGGAGGCTGGTAATGCTTGGGAAGTTGGGCTGGGTGCAGTAGGAGCTGCCAGGTGATGGTCCAGGGAAGAGAGAAGTAGGAAAGAGAACTTGCTAATGAGGAGACAGCGAAGATGGTATTTTGTGGAAGATATTGGGAAAGAATGTGGTAGGAAGCTGGTTGCATCACAGCTGAGTACAGAGAGGACTTGAAACAAACAGGGAACTTAAAAAGTTCCACTGGCCGCAGACTGAATATATTTTGGTAAAACCTGAGTCACCTATGAAATCACAGTTATTCCCATTTGTTTCTGTTATGTACTGAGACTAAGTAAACTCTCTGGAGCCTATATTCTTTAATCTAAAACCTTCTAACCCACTTTATAAAATTAAGGGCCTGTATTATATTGATCTTTCTGTTTAATTCCATGTTCTGAATAATACATCACAGAAGTGGCAACGCTTTTATGATATGTTGGTGTCATACATCATAACTAGCACCACTGCTCTTGTGATGTATTATCCACACAGTGGCACAAACCAGAAAGATAAATGCTGGTATGTGGACAGCTACATACATCGCTTGTGAAATAGGGATAAATACAGATTAATTTATACACTTTCTACAATCCAGAAATAAAATTTCTATCTGATACAGACTTCACACTACTTTTGGCAGGATGTAAATACACCTTTACAAAAGAAGAAGCTGGAAAGCTGCTTTTGAGTCAAATATTCAGCAAATAAATCTTCATTCTCTGAGTGAAAGGAGCTCCATCAGGAGAGTAAACACTGAGCACCCTTCCCTTACTGAGAGAAGCTGAACTAAGGATGGATCATTTCACGTGCTTTTCAATGCCTCAGCCTATTGTCAAGAATCAATCCTTTATGCTCAAGTGTTTTCAGCATCATTATATCCATGGTATCCACCCAAACCCCTCTCTGCCAGCTTTCTTACACATGCACTCTCACAGGAAGAGTAGAGCTGTGTTGTTCCCTCATTCACATTGCAACAACCAAAGGCCATTATTTGTCTGTACACACGCTGTTTTGTTTTAGCTGCCTGACACCTGTGCTGAGCTCCTTCACAATCTTGCACAGAAAAGTATTTTGCAAAAGTCCTTCTGACTCAGGAATATTCAATGACCGCTCTGGTTTTTTTAATCTTTTTTAATCCCAGCCTTGACAACCATGAATCTGGGAGGTGCCACCATGCAGAGCAACCATGACTTATGCTGGGATAACACAGAAGACCCTCTATGCCCTACTGACCACCCCACCAGTGCCTGCTGTGGAGCCCCCTGTGCAAAATCACCCCCTGGGAGATTCCTTGAACTCCTGCTGTATTTTTTTCCAGTCCTTCTTTATCTTGCAAAACAAACAAAAACAAAAGAACAGGAACTGGGAAGGGGAGGATTCATCTTTATGACATTTGAGACTCATTTGCTGGATAAAACAACTGGAATATGCTTCCGCTTTCCACCTATGTAAATGGAGTTGAGGACCTAAGCACGTGGTGCAATAGATAATATTTAATTCTCTCAAAACCCACAGTGGTTATTCCAGATTTTGCGGTCTATGAGTGAATCATATTAATTAGGGCAGGATGAATCAGCTCAGAACTAATGGACTTGACACCATGCCCATCCTCTCAGCAGAACGACACCCAAAGTTTTCTGAGGCTTAAAATGCTTTGTTAGCTTTTATTAATTAATCAATGCGGGCTAGACATGAAAATATCTCAAGAAGGATTTTAATTTTTCTGAATTATTCAAAGCTTAGTCACTACTGTAAGTAATGGTTATAGGACAAGAACATCAGTTCCTGTGAGATTTCAAGCCTGATTTTCTGCATTTGTGCCTGAGGATAATTTTATTCTCTTGGCTTCTAGCTTGTCTTCCTACCATGAAATCACCAAAAATACTTAGGAAATAAAAAAGAGAACCAGTTACGTGGAGGAGGAGGGAAAGGAAACGAGTGAACACAAACAGATCCTTCAGCCAACTCCTGACTACAGAAATAGCAACCCTATTGGAGTAAAATTAGTGGTAACAATTGATTTATCAATAACTACTATGTGCAGTATCTAATGCTAACAAGTTGGTCTGTCAAGTCTCTTAGCAACATTAAATCAGTCAGTCAGATGGTAAGAGTGATGAGACAAGGCATATGATAATGGAATTTTCCAGATTTGTTACACTTGCTGGGTTTTATCTTCCTTTGTAGCACAACCCCTTCCTTCCCACACGGCTAAAACAACACATCCCTTTGCTACCTCACCATCTGTGAAAGGCTCCATTACTTCTTTTTTGCTCAGGAATTGGGAAGTGAAGATGTGGCAGAATACTGTGGATCGATTAAAAAAGTAACAATGGCAGCCTTTGGTGGGTGGATGCCTCTGTTGTAGATTTAATACTGTATGTACTGGCAAATTTACCAGGTGCTTTGTATGAAACAATTGGCATGCATGAGTTGTAAGACCATATTCTTATGCTTAATTACAGCAACTGTACCATCAGCACAGGTTAAACACAGTGGCTTTCAATTTGCAGTATTAATCAGAAGAAAACAATGAAATTCAGTCCAGTAGGCTTTCAATTCCCTGTCCTTGTATTGTGGTTTTATCATTCTCTTCTCTGAAAAGGTTTTATTCAGCTGCTGCCTTTTATATCAAGCCCTGTGAATCATCTGAAATAAAATAAAAACATGGTAATTTGTTATAAAGCTGAGACTGCGTGTACATCATCAGTTCTCTTGCAAAATAATTTTGTAAAAATGACCAATGATGTTGGTTAGTTTTGTATTTGTTATTTTTTCCCTCTCTTTATGCTTTTGTATATCTGTTCCCAGAAGATCATAAAATTATTTTAATTAGGAATGTCAACTTCTGCCTGAGAAGCTGAGGGGGTAATTACATCATTTATATGCAAAATGGGTAATTTTCTCCCTGCTCTTCACCATTCTCTTCTTTCCATTTATTCCCCCATATCTCCACTCTTCAGAGTTGAGCTATTTAATTTTATTCTGGTCCATCTGGAATATCTATGCCACTTTTCCATACAGTCTCAGACATAAAAGTAGGAGTTACCTTTAGTCTAAATCCTCACAGCTCTTTTGCTCCATGTACTCCTGATTCTGTTTAATATTCTTAGTGAGTTCAAGGTCCACCACAGACACACAGAAGTGGCTTCTGCCCTGTTGCACTTCAGTAACTTTTTACTAAAATA